TAAAAAAAAAAAAAAGATGAACGACAAGCAGCCATCCCACCACATGTAATTCTACTTCCATTTATGTGCAGCATTACTAATTTGGTTTGGTCAGATATGATATTTGTGACAGTTAAGGGAAGTGGTCAGAAAACTCAACTACTTGACTCAACCACTGAGCATCCATTTCTCTTTCGTGCCACATTACTGGAAATAGAAACAGTGGGTAAAGTGGTGGCAGAGGTCCCCCCTCGACATTTCTCCAGGAACAGAGTAAATAGAACTGCTCCAGTGCAAACTCTTTTCTCACTTAGTCACTCAACAAAGTTTTACTGAATATCTACTGGATGCCAGATTTGTTTTCCGTGCCACTCCTTCATCAGAATCCACTCCTTGCTAAAGGCTTCACTTTCCCCTCCCCTCCCACAGTCCCCGCAGACACACAGGGTCTTGATGCTGACTGAAAGGTTTGGATCTTTCCCTTATGGAAACTCGAGTTCTGCCTCCCCTTCCTTGAAGGCCCTGCCAGGGTGGAGTTTTATTTGTAATAATACTTTTTTATCTGCATAAAATAAATAAACTCCAAGATGGAAAAGTATTTTAGAGAAAATAGAAGAAATTATAAGTATTTCCTCATGTCATTGCATACTTGTAAACATTTTAATGGCTGGGTATTCTATTGTGTACCTCCGTTTCTTAACATTCACCCAAAACTTCATTCACAATTTAGATTTATTTCCTTAGGGAAGAATTACAAAGTTATTATTTATGCACATTTGTAAGGCCTTAATACAAATGGCCAAACCACTTTCAGAGAGTTTGTAGCAACTTAGAGTCCCATTAAAGGTCTATTTACTGTTCATATCATAGTACCCTTACCTTCATTGAAGAGTAAAAACTTTAAGAATCTTCACTGATTGTTTTTAATCTGCATTTTTTTTCTTATTTCCAGTGAGATTGGACATTTTCACATGCTTATTAGACATTTTTAGTTTCTCTCTCCTGAGCTTTCTGTATGTGTCCTTTGTCTGTATTTCTATTGGAGTTTTTATAGCCTTCTTATTTACCTGTATGACCTTATTCAGGATGTTAACACTTTGTTTTTAATATTTATTGATCACATTTGGGCAAATTCCCCCCAATTGCATTATTTGTAATCATATTATCACTTAGAGCAGATAACTTGTCTAATGAGATCAGCTTTATATCATTTTATGTAGGAGGTGGTTATCAATGTCTAAGAATTAAGAATGCATACTTTATAGCACAGTAAAAAAAAAATCTATTCTAGAAACTTCTATTAAATAAAGGGAGAATGTATAAGAGTTAAACTGCAAGGGACCTTGGGCCTATCAGTGCTTCTGTATTGATAGACCTATTTGTATTCTTACTGCATTTGATGTGTGGCCCCTTTGGTGTGCTTATTACAAAATTATGAGATTCTGTGCCCAGACTAGCACTTGAGACAGGTAGTGAGCTGCTTTTGAATTTATCAGATTCCAGATAAAATTCTACTCATCCTTCATTCCCATACCTCAGTTTCCCGTACTTGTAGAGGCCCTGAATAGCAGCCCTCATAAGCTCTCCTTTTTCTTGCAGACAGTTCTTCCTCACTCCAGGAAGATGAAGAGGTAGAGATGGAGGCTGTCAGCTGGCCGGCCAGTAGTCCAGCCACGAATGGACACCCTGCAACTCCAGTGACTTCTGCTCGTTTCCCCAGCTGGGTGACTTTTGATGACAATGAAGTCAGCTGCCCTTTGCCACCAGTCACCTCTCCCCTGAAGCCAAACCCACCACCTACTGCATCTGTGATCCCAGATGTACCTTATCACTCAGCTGGGTCATTTAAGAAGAGGGAACGTCCCAAGAGCACATTGATGAACTTTTCCAAAGTTCAGAAGCTGGACATTTCCTCCTTAAACCATCCGCCTTCCATAACCGAGGCTCCACCTTGGAGGGCAACCAATCCTTTCCTGAATGAGACTCTGCAGGATGTACAGCCTTCCCCCATCAACCCTTTCATTGCTTTTTTTGAGGAGCAGGAGAGACGCTCCCAAAACAATTCCATTTCCAGTGCCACAGGCAAAAGCCAAAGAGATTCTCTCATTGTCATCTACCAAGATGCCATCAGTTTTGATGACTCAAGCAAAAACCAGTCACACTCTGATGCCGTTGAAAAACTCAAACAACTCCAGATTGATGATCCTGATCACTTAAGCAGTACGACACTACCAGATGATGACCCGAAAGCCTGGATTGAACTAGATGACCACCCACCTGGTTCAGTGCTGTCCCAGCCCAGGGATGGATGGCCAATGATGCTAAGGATCCCTGAGAAGAAAAACATCATGTCGTCTAGGCACTGGGGACCCATCTACATCAAACTGACAGACAGTGGTTACTTGCAGCTGTATTATGAGCAGGGCCTAGAAAAACCATTCCGTGAGTTCAAGCTGGAGATCTGCCATGAAATTTCAGAACCCCGGCTCCAAAACTATGATGAGAATGGCAGGATCCACAGCTTGCGAATAGACCGTGTCACCTACAAGGAGAAGAAGAAATACCAGCCCAAACCTGCTGTGGCCCACACAGCAGAGAGGGAACAAGTGATCAAGCTGGGCACCACCAATTACGATGACTTCCTCAGTTTCATCCGAGCCGTTCAGGACCGGCTCATGAATCTGCCAGTGTTGTCAATGGACTTAAGCACAGTGGGCTTGAACTACCTTGAAGAGGAGATTACTGTGGATGTCAGGGATGAGTTCTCTGGCATTGTGAGCAAGGGAGACAACCAGATTCTCCAGCACCATGTCCTGACACGGATCCACATTCTGAGTTTCCTCTCTGGGCTTGCAGAGTGCCGCTTGGGCCTCAACGATGTCCTTGTCAAAGGGAACGAAATCGTTTCCCGGCAGGACATCATGCCGACCACCACCACAAAGTGGATCAAGCTCCATCAGTGCCATTTTCATGGGTGCGTGGATGAGGATGTATTCAACAACTCACGGGTCATTCTGTTCAACCCTTTGGACGCCTGCCGGTTTGAGCTAATGCGGTTCAGGACAATATTTGCAGAAAAGACCTTGCCTTTCACACTCAGGACAGCAGCAAGCATCAATGGGGCAGAGGTGGAGGTGCAGAGCTGGCTGAGGATGTCAACCGGCTTCTCCTCTAACCGAGACCCTCTCACCCAGGTTCCCTGTGAGAATGTGATGGTTCATTACCCCGTGCCCAGTGAGTGGGTGAAAAACTTCCGCAGGGAAAGTGTCCTGGGGGAAAAGTCTCTAAAAGCTAAAGTGAACCGGGGGGCAAGTTTTGGTTCAACTAGTGTATCTGGCTCTGAGCCTGTCATGAGAGTAACTCTGGGAACTGCCAAGTACGAGCATGCCTTCAACTCCATTGTGTGGAGGATAAACCGACTGCCTGACAAAAACTCGGGTAGGTACAGGCTTCTCTTCTGTGAAAACTGCCACATGGTTACAGAAGAGCAGGGGTCCAAGTTCCACACTCTGTTCCCCTATTAAGTGCTGGTTTCCGTTGGGTGACAAATGGTAATGGAGGAATGGGACCAGAAAATCAAAAATACTTGTGCGGAGTAAGGAACAAACGTGAATGACCCAGTTCACAACATGTTCTTACCCCTTTGTTATCACACTTCTTCCAGAGAATTCTGCGTTATTAGCGGGTTGAGCCGCTAAGCACGTTTCCAGGGCAGCTTATGAGTTTGTATTCTTTTCTGACTCATATAAGTATTATATGTGGTGCTGGAAGCTGTTTCCAGATCCTAGCAGGCTTCTGGGTTCTGAAGAGGTATCTTTCTCAGTTAGATTTAAGATTCGAGTCACCATGTGCAAGACCTGTCAATCATAACATCTCCAACTTGGAGTTGGGATTTGAGGATGCAGCAAGGGAAGAAATGGCCTCTGATGAGACTGAAGATCCAGCCAGGACCAGAAGGTCCAATAGGGCTGAGATTCTGTCGGACAAAAAAACCAAATCAATAAAGGAAGGTATGTTTGAATTACACAAAGAAAGCAAGCTAACCAGCCCTAGCTGGCTTGCTCATGGCTATAAGGGGTGCTTTTGTGCTTGAGTGAGCACAGAAGGCAATGACTTTCCTCAGGGGTCCAGTGAAGTTAACGAAATGACAAAACTAGGGAGTGATCCAACTAGTTCTAATAGCCCTATTTCTTAGAGGAAGTCCAAGTGACTCCAATGACAGGCAGTAAGCTCATGATGCTGTGATCCTTTAAAGCACTTCTCTTCTTGTTTATAATAAATTGTGCCCATCTGTTAACAAATAGATATCCGAGCCTAGCAAAAGGAGTAAAGTTTAGAAAAACTTGACGGAAATGTCCTTCTCTTATGCAGATATTCTTCCATTCTACTATTAAATCCTAGTGGTGTGTTTATAGAGTCTTCATTTCCTGTTCTGAGGGTGGAGTGGTCCTGTCATCGAACCCAAAATGTATCGTGATGTGATGGCAAGAGGCAGTATGATCTGGTCACCTCCCCAAGCAGTCCAGGGGGGTGGAACACACCGGGGCATTCTGTGTCAGACACTGGGTGTAGCGGTGCAAAATGAAAAGACAATTGGACCTCTGTGTTTGAGGCTGGGTTGGCCATCCCCCGCCCCCCTGCCATTTCTAAACTGACAGGATTTTTAAAAACAAAGTCTTCCTCTCTGTGCTTGGGTATTTGTTTCTCCCCGGTCAGCACTGTATTCTCCTAGTGATAGCACGGTGATCTCCACCTCAGCCATGGGGCCTGCCCTGAACTGACAGAAGAGAGGAGAAGCCCTGAACTGTCCTTTGGCACAGAAGCCCCTGAGAAGAGAACTGAGGCGGTAGGAAGCAAATTACTGTTTAACCTGCTGGAGACTTGACATCAGAAAAGACAAGGCCTCAGGTTTATGTTTATCGGAATGCTTAGCTCTTCAGTTTGTTACCTATGGATTCAGATAACTTCATTATGGGATTACCGAGTTTTCAAGCTGGAAGGGGCCTTGGGAATAACTTGAGTCAAACCTCTTCATTCTACAGATGAGAAAATTAAGGACCGAGAGTGACATGACTTATCTGAAGTCACAAAGCCACATCCAGGGGTCTTTTCTCAATACCACAGCTGCCTCTTAGTAGAGGATACCAAATAGACACAAACGTGAAGTAACTTCCTCTAAGGGAAGAGAGATTTTCAGTTTTCTCAATGTGTACACCTCTATCTCATTTGCTTCAGAGTTCTTTCTCTCAAATATTTAAAAGTACTGTATGAGGAGTTTTGGTTATAAGCAGCAAAAACAAAACGAAACAAAAGATTGTTGGAGGATAGCTCAGAGCGCTGAAGGAAAGGCTGGAAGGGTTGAATGAACAGGCATAGAAAGGATGGCTCTTGAAAGCAGAGCTGTGAGATGCCTCCTCAGTCCGCAGCTATTGACATAAATCATCACAAGCCGTTTTCTGTCAAGAGTCAAGGGGAAGACAGCGCATTTTGACTGACATGACCTCCAAAATGACATGCAGTGCTGGGGAAGATTATCTCCCAAAGCAGAGGGAGGGGAAAAAGATTGTTACCAGAAGAAAGGGGGGAATGGATGCAGGACACGGGTAGATACAGGTCTTCAGCAAACACGTTCTTTAATGCTTTCCCAGCAGGTGAGTGTTCAGTAGGCTCAAGGCCAAGTTAATGAAGCTTATATATTACAAATGTATTTCCTGATTACTGGAACCTTTGTGAAAGATTTTTGAAATCCAGGACAGCATAAGGATATTTGGGAATGTTTCTCAGTTAAGCTACCCCCTCATCCCTGCTTTTGTTATTCATGGTTATGCATTTTTAGTAGCAGCCCCCCACCCCCACCCCGGCAAAGGGCTTCTAATACTACTCCTGACCAATGGTATATTTCTGGATCTGTTCAGGAAATTGATAACACCCTTTTCTGGCAACTCAAGACACACAGAATCTGAATTAAGTCAGACAGCAGGTTCTTAGCGTTGCTGGTGTTCCCTGGGACCAGCTCCTCCTGTCCCCATCCAGTGTGCCCTCCATGAAACCACTGAATTGATGATCTATTAGTAATCATCCCTTTCCTGAGCTCCTCTATCTTGGTCTTCAGAGAGCCTTGGGAAAGTGCCTTTTACAGGTTATTTTCCATAATTCTCACACCTCTGTTTACAGTAAAGGAGGCCTGAACCTCTGCGTGCTTACTTCTACCGGCAGTGGCCCTGTATCCGTAACTTGCAGCAGGCAGGACAGTCAGACCACAGGCAGCATGGGTCTGTAGGTCTGTACCCCTGGCTTTGCTGGCATCTGAGGCTGTAGTCACAGAGGGCTTGTCCCAGTCCCAGTCACCAAAAGACTAACAAGCTGCCACTGGAGTCCAACGTGGCCTGAAGTGGTGGGCCTAGCCCAGCTGTGTGCATGTACAGTCATCCCCTCCCCACGCCCCCTGCCCCCCCACCTGCACTCTTCGGGGACCCTTTTCACCCTGACCCCAAAAGCTTCTCGTAATCCTAGAAGGCACCAGAACAAGTCCTACTGCTTTCCCAGATCATCCGCCAGGAAACAAAGCATTCTGTCCTGCACAGGTAGCTTTCTTTGCTGGAACTCCAGTTCTCTAATATTAGACCAAGAGAAAAACAATTTCAATATAATTCACCTTTTATGGAAAGTAGAAATCTAAATTTTAAATTAAATTTTCTTGGTTTCATCAAGGAAGATGACAAAATGTGTGGGTTCACATAGTTCATTACCGTAAATCAAACTGTACTAGATTTCAGAATTGCATACCCCTATCTGTCCCTCAGCCCTATACATCGTGGGCGTCCATTAGTGGACGCCTGGAATCCAGAGGGAATACTGCTTTCATAGGGTTTGCTGTGAATACACTTTGGAAGGTGAGAGGAGACATCTGCTTTGTGGAAAGTAATGATTTCTCAGTATTCTGACAATGTTTAAGGGTAACTGGGTAAAACTGTTGTTCAAGTTGCCATTGAATTAAAGTAAACTCTGTGTACTTCAGAGTGATCTAAATCTATAGCAATATATTGAGAGGAGTTTAGGACATAATTTGGAATCTGTCAGATCTGAGTTTTATTCCCAATGCTGCAATTTAGTGGCTGTAAGACCTCAGGCCATTTACTTAAACCTCTCAGAGAAATCTTATTTTCCTCATTTACAGAAGAGGATTATGAATACCTAGCTCATTAAGATAGAAATTAGATAATGCTTTTAAGTGTTTAGCACAGTCGCTGGCCTGTAAGAAATGCTCAGTAACTGAAAGCTGTGTAATCACAATTGTAATTTAAAATAAATCACCTGGGTTCATTTTTAGATAATATAATTTTTACTAACATATGTATCAAATTTAAATTTCTTTCCTAGAAACCAGTGCAAGTTTCTCAATTTCCCAAAGTATTACTCTTTAGAAATAACCCCTGAAATATGTTATTTGTGAAATAGAGCAAAACAAATACTTCACTGCGTGATGTTTTCCTTGGAGAGCGGGTGTGTATGTCCTCACTCTCCGAGATTAAAAAGTCCTGTCCAGACCAATAAAGAAAATTGAAATTGTTTATTTGGGGAAGCTCAGATAACTTAGGACTCTTGCTGTTACATAACAGTCAAAGCCGTGTCACGTTGTTTATCCACGGTGAGTTGTTGTATGGGGGTTCTTACAGCTCACTTCTCTACTCATGTCACCCTGCAAAACCTGGTCTTGAGATGGGAGACCATGAGGGTGGCTGTGACTCAGACAAAGTGGCTAAAGCACTTTGGAGACTGACTGCTTGGGTTCAGTTCTCATTCTGCCACTTTGCAGTTCTGACTGGGCGGCTCGCTTTACCTCCCCGAAGCCTTGGTTGCCTCATCTGTAGACTGGAATGGCTATGACCTCAAGGGATTGTTATGAAGATACGGAGAGAGGGTGTGCACACAGCAGCTGGGACAGTAAAGGATGCTCAACAAACAACGATGCTTCAAAGGTTACAGTCACAGAACTAAGCTCTCTTTTCACTCAGCTAATCGGTCCTCAAGTTTTTCAGCCACGTACAGTAGAACGAACCATAGATTTGTAGAATTAAAGAACAGGAAAGGACTGTGCCTTGCATTGACCTACCTCCATTTCCCCACTTCCCAAATCAGGACTTGAAGCTGGAGAGAACAAGGATGTGGGTGCAAGATTTCTGACACTTAGCAGGAGAGCTAGAAGTCATACTCGGTGTCCTGTTGGCCTGTGTTCTACCCAGCATACCATGTGCTTCCTTAATGCAAAGCTGTTGTTTATAAGGGCTTCATCATTTACGTGTGCCATTTACCCACAGAGACATTCCAAAAGCATCTTTGAAAAATATGAGATGATTAAGATGATTAAGAAAATTCATCTTCTGGGTGCCTAGGTGGTTCAGTTAGTTAAGTCTACAACTTTGGCTCAGGTCATGATCTCACGGTTTGTGGGTTCGAGCTTCGCGTTGGGCTCTGTGCTGACATCTCAGAGCCTGGAGCCTGCTTTGGATTCTATGTCTACCTCTCTCTCTTCCCCTGCCTTGCTCGCACTCTGTCTCTCTGTCTCTCTCCCTGTCTCTCAAAAATAAACATTAAATTTTTTTTAATTAAAAAAAGAAAATCCATCTTTCAAAGGGAATTAATTACTTTGCTCCACATGGCTGTCATTGATGCTCTATTAGGTGCTAAGTGCTGATCCCTTTTATTCCTTCCTGCCAATTTACAGCCTCTATTACTTATTATTTGTGTTGTGTTCCCATTATCACCCTGACCTGAGTGGGTTTTTCAGGCTGTGGGTTTTATTGCTAGGATACAAGGCTACTGTAATCAGAAGGGTCTGAGGCACAGGCAGTGTGATTTCTGTTGTAAGTCCTCCGCTCAGCATTGGACCCTCGGAAAGACTGCCTGGTGCTGAGCCTCCTTTGCTATTGAGTGGCTCTTTTGGCCTCTTCTTCCATGTCATCCTCAAAGAACCTAATGTCTAAATTCTTTTCCTTTCATAGCTTCTGGTCACCCACACTGTTTCTTCTGCCACCTTGAACTTGGCTCTGACCGGGAAGTGCCTTCCAGATTTGCCAGTCACGTGAATGTTGAGTTCAGCATGCCCACAACTTCTGCCTCTAAAGCTGCCGTAAGATCCATCTCTGTGGAAGACAAGACTGATGTCAGGAAGTGGGTCAATTATTCTGCACACTACAGCTACAAGGTAGCCTCGGGAGGCGTCTGGCTAATGTTTCCAGGTCCATTTGTTCACCCCCTTCCCCTCCCCTGTCTTGTTCCCTTTAGCAGTGCCTGCCTTGAATGCAGGATGTTCTCTTACCGCCTTAGAGAGAGGTACACCGTGCATAGCTGTGGATGAGTCTGCTCTGATTTGAATGAATAGTCTCACTGGTGGGCAAGAGAAAGGTTGGGAAAAAATAAAGAGGTGAATGAAAGAGGAGAGTATAATGTTTTTCAGTCATCATGAACAACAACAAAAGAGTCATGGGGTAAAGGAATTAGTATTACTCATAATATATGTTGCAGAAGTTGTGAACTTGAAAGTGGAGGGGAGTTCAGGAAAGCGCTAACCCAAAGCATGTATTTCATTCAGCTTCAGAGTTGGTGAAGTAGATCTGAGTAAAGTCAGGACACCTATGACCTGGTCACTGGGCTATACCAGGACAAAATTCAAAAGCCAAGCAAGCTTCTGTAATAGTAACAGGATCAGGGCTGTGGAAGGAGGAAACTAAGTTGGAGTGTTCTGATATAAATAGTGATTCTATCTTCAGGCATTGGAAATTCAATAGCAGATTAAATGCCAAAGATAGAAAATGGGGGTTATTGAAGAATTATTTTGCAAACGGTTTAATAATTTTTTTATTCATAATAATATCCTTAGTTTTTCAAGGTTATTTATTGTTCTTCAATGTTTCCTTAGTTGTGTGATCTAAAACCTTAAACTACCAAAAAGAACACATACTCCATCTTGTGGCCAGGGAAAATATAGCACTTTCATCAAGCATGACCCTCCTCTGTTTTTTCTTTAATTGTTCCCTTCATCATAAATATCCAAAGTGGTGAAGAGAAGAGTAGTTTTAATTATGAAACTCTCTAGCTTGATAGATTTCCTTTCTGACTTGTCAAAGGCTTCAGCGTGTGTCACTTTCAAGGCAAGATGAATTTATTAATCCCTTCATAGTTGTAGCTGCCGTATTTTGCAGGAGACACAGGAAGAACTATAAACACTAAAATACTTAACTTTGGGAAGAGATAAAGTAACGGAGAGTATAGACAGCCAGATGGAAAGGAATTCAGTCATTTTGATAAACCTTTGTGCTCTCCTGCTGTATACCTACATTATTGGAGTACAATAGTCAACAAGGGCATACCCCTGTCCTATGGAGCCTGTGGTTGGGGGTGGGCCGGGCAGGTGTACCAGGTACAGTGGAAATATGCCCAGGAAGAATGCCTCACTCTACCTAATGACTTGGGAACATGACTCAAGGTGACCTTTGAACCACTATGCAAGACAAAGAATAAGAATTTTCCAGGTGGACTGTGAAGAAGGGGGATTCCAGAGCAAGCAAAGAACATGTGCAAAGAGATAATCCTAATATACTCAGGGCCAGTATCTTCAGTGTGGCTAAAGCCCAGAACATTAACAAAATTACAGGGAATCTCAATGAGCGTGGTGAGGTATTCTCTTTGAGATTATTTATTATTGGGATGTTTTTCTCCTCTTTCTGATATTTCTCTCCAACTTCTATTCTTGGCAGGTGGAAATTGAGCAAAAAAAGAGTTTGAAGCCAGACTTTGAAGGAGATGAAATGGAAAATCCCAAGGAGTGTGGGGTCCAGTGACAAAGCCCTACTGCAGGGGGCATGACCCAAGTTCTCATGAATAGCTGAAGTTCAAGTCAGTACCTACCATGACTACTCCATGTTGGGAACAGTATTTTGGACCTTCCTGTAGTTACCTGTATTTTAACAGGGAACCTTGAGGTGGTTGCTTTGGAGAGACCCTGATATGCCTGATGATGCACCTAGTTCACCTGACTTTTGGGGCTTATTGTCTAATTAAGCCTCCTTTTCTTCACTCTGCTTATCTCACAGCTGTTGGGTGTGGTTTGTTGTCACTGTTGGAGTCAGGAAGAGAACCTTCCACATGAGTGTTGGCCCCATTTCCTTCTGATGTTCATCTGTCACTTACATGATTTTCTAGAAAACACAGTCTTGAGAAAGTTCATTCAGAATCCACCTCTATCACTCCCTCTAGAAAAAGGTTCAGAAGAGGTGAAGTACAAAACAAATTTCCTCTTTGGGTCTACTAGGCTCTTTGTACATGTCTCCATTCTTTAAATGTTAACACTATGCAACAGAAGTTTTCAAGACGTTTCCCTCCCAGTTCTGGATGGTTTTGATTAAAACACTTTTTCCATCTCTCTGTTCCCAGGGTTCACCACCCTGAGTCACAATAAACAATGGAAAAAAGGCACAATAGGATACTTTTTTATTCTGTGATTATCCCCACATTCTGCAAAGGGTGGCTATTGAAGGGAAAGCAAAACTGAGCTGATTTTTCTTCATTCTGGGGAAAAGGGCCATTAATTGTAACATAATATTCAATTCAGGAGACAACTTCAATCTCAGAGAATTCCCAAATTCACACTGAAAAATACAGGCCATTTCTGTTTCTGAAACAAATGGATGGAGATATATATATATATACACACACATATATATACACACACCTATATATATATACATATATATGTGTGTATATGTATGTATGTATGTATACCTCAGGCATATGTCAGGGCATTTGGGAGCTCTTTTTATACCTCAAGCCTATAGACAGTTGCATGTCTCTTTAATTCAGACTTTACAGGAAATATAAGTGGAAAAGATAATTTTAAAAGCTGTTTTAAAGCTAAGCTTTTAGTTTTAAAAATTTAAAAGCTGTTTTAAACCAAGCTTTTCGTATATGAGCTCTCCCCCCAAATTCAGAGTTTGATAATTACAATTTTGTAACAGATCTAAAAAGCGGAAGACTCTAGGGTAGAAATGGAGGAAAGGCCTATTTTTCTAATGTTGGGAGCATTAAATCTGATTCCAAGAGTCTGGGACACTCGATCTTCTTTCCCTTCATATGTTCCTGCTTATATTCTGTACTTCTACTTCTTATTTCTATCTTGGTGTCTCCTTACCATACAAGGAACTATATTGGCCATCCCGAAGGGAATACCTGCTCAGCAGCTTAAAGGCCGGTTCTATCTGCCTTCTTCTCCTGTGAAGAATAAAGTAAGGGGACAGAAAGCATACCTGTAAGATTTGTCAGATGACACAGAGAAATAAATGATATATCCAGTCTCAACTGGCAGATTTGGGGTTAATTTATCCAGTGAATTTTCACTGAATTGTAACTACGTACTGACACTAGAACATAGACATCATTACCATTTTTTTTGAAATACCTGAACATAAGACTGAAACTAAAAGGATAAAATTCAGTAGGCATTAACGAGACACTATATTCTGAGTTGCTTAAACACTATATTCTGAGTTGCTTAAATACAACCTTCTAAATACAGAGTGGTGTTACCTACGTGTGTGTTGACAGGAAGGTTGTTGAAAAATCATGGTTTCACAATGGTTCCTGTAGAAATGTTTTCTTAGGGAAACAGGACTTCAGTTTTGAATTAGGAGTGTATGGTGACTATCACAAAGTTAATGCATTCAACCTGTGGTAACAGAAGCCCAGGGAGCCCTGCATGCTGCACTGGTCAGTCCACATTTGGATGGAGGGTTGGATTCAATTGTGGATGCTATGTTTTGAGAGAGACATTAATCAGTTGTGTCCAGAGGCAGGTGACCAGGGTTGTGAAGGGTCTAATTATATAAGGGACAGGGGAATAGAATAGGAGAGAATAAAATAATATAGCTGCCCTGAAATTTCCGTTGAGTTTTAAAAAGGGAGAAGAATAAGACTTACCTGTGTAACTTCAAAGGGCAAAAATAGGAACAAAGAGGAACTTTATAGATAACAGATGTTTGCTTCAACATAAGAAAGAATTTTCTAATAAGAGGTTCTAAATGTGGTGGTTCTAAAGGGGAAAAGACTTGTGTAGTAATATTTCCTATTGCTGCAAATGCCCAAACAAAGGTTAAAATAACCATCCATCCCAGATGCTGTGAAAGGGGCACTGGATTTGGGCTAGATGGCTCCCAAGATCCCTTTTGCATATAGGCTAATCTCAGTAGTAACTCTCTAACTCTAGTTGTTTTCTCCTTGATAAGTGGTTTTGTAAACTTTGTGAAATACATTGGGATTTCCTGAAGTTCTCTGTCAAGTGAGGCAGAGCCCTTCCCCTGTTGTACGAAAGGCACATGAGATTCCTCACAGAAACATCAAGATGCGCTAAAGAACTGGCAAGGTGAAGGTCATTCTGACACCTTCCTTACCAAACGCTAGCACCTGCGCACCCTGTCAAGATCTCTGCCTCACCTGCCAGCATCACATGTGTGCTGCCTGTTGGACGATTTCTCCCCATCTTAGTTAATTCTCATTGCCTTTGTGCTTTTACGTGGATTTTTTTTTTCTTTCAACCAAGGGTTAGGAAAATCCTTTCCATGCTATCTGCATTCAGCAAGCAAATTATTATTAATAATAATTTTTTTTAAAAAAACCTACCACCTTGATTTCATCAAATTTGCTTTCCCACTACTGTTTTCGGGAAACTGATTATGGGTAGCATCTGGGACTTTGGGGGATATAATACTATCTATTTTTAGGCCTAGTGTTATGTGAATAGCCTACATAGAAAACACAGGCAAATTACCTTTTTGGTGTGCAGATTCTTTTACTACCCTGGACCTGGATTGTGTGTATGTGTGTGGTCACAAGTAGTCCTTGTCTATGTTATCAATAATGTGAAGATATTAAAAGTAAATTCACTTTACCAATACATAGTATTACTATTAGAACATAAATTAGATGTCACATGATATTAAGAGCTATGCTTTCTTTTGAGTCTCATGGCTTGCTTTGTGACTTTATAGTAAAAGAGGATAAGAAATGTACTTGTCGTGATATGTCAAACAAGAGAAGCTAAGGTATTTTGTGGTGGGCCATTAAACCCCATTTGCCACTCTTGTAAACATAATACTAGTTATTTTTTCTCAAAATTTTACATTTCACTTAAATATCATCTGGATATTTTTTTTTTTCATTTGGTTCTTTTCCCGCTCTCAGCATTCCTGCATTATTGGCAGGACTCATAACCCTTGAGAACATTTTTTTAATGCAATATATTTCTTATTTGAAATGGGAGCAATTTCTATTCAAATCCAGTGGGTGAGAGCAAGAGTTTATTTCCTGAGAAATTAAAGTCCCCAAGAAATATGATCCATGATGGCAAGGAATATATCTTATTCTTTATGTTCAGTACCTAGGAGAAAGCTTGGGAAAGGTTTCAGCCACCTTAAATCCTTGCTGATAGGACAAACATATATTAGTGAAATAAAAGGAAATTATTAGGGGGTGCCTGGCTGGCTCAGTTGGTAGAGCATGCACCTTCTTTTTTTTTAGATTTATTTTATTGATTTTGAGAGAGACAGTGTGCAAGCAGGGGAGGAGTAGAGACAGAGGTGGAGAAAGAATACCAAGCAGGTTCTGCTCTGCCAGCACAGTGCCCAACAGAGGGCTCGATCTCATGAACCGTGAGATCATGACCAGAGCTGAAATCGAGAGTTGAACGCTTAACCAACTGAGCCACTCAGGCGCCTGGAGCCTGCAACTCTTGATCTCTGGGACATGAGTTCAAGCCCCATGTTAGGTGTAGAGATTACTTTTAAAAGAAAGAAAAAAGAAATTATTAGGTATTTAATAAATGTTTGTTAAACGCACACTCACCTGAAACTCTAAGAAACTTAGCCCTTACTTATCATCAAATACTTCTATTAAAATAAGCAAGCAAGCTTTATTTCCTGAAAGACTTAATTTTTTTTTATTCCTGCTTCCACTGTCAACTAATGACTGTCAGCACATAGCCTTCACGTGCAGCTGAATTTAAACTACAGTTTTTCTCACTCATATTGAAAAACATTTTTGTGCCCAAAATACAGTAGCACAGATGCTATCCATGAGTCAAGATTATTGATTCAGTTTTGTTCCTTCAAGTCAGACATGTCTTGCCCATTTGAATAGTCAGCAGGAGGAGAAAGCTTGGCCAATATTGGTGTGCTATGTCTTTGGTTTCCCCACCATTAACTACTGACTGGTGTTACTGTGTTTTGTCACCATAGGCAGATGGAGGACTGAGATGGTAAGGATGAAACTCGTGAAATTAAATCATGATTTCAGAGCTGCTTTCAATCTCTTTATGAGGTTAGTTGTGGGAAAGCACAGAATGATCTGAAATTGTTTAAAAGCCTTGGGAATATTAAATTAATTTCAGTAGGAAGCATTGCCACCTAGCCTACTTTTAGAATTCTCCCACTTGGGACTGGTAACTTTAATGGTTCTCCAGATGATGATCGTAAGTGAATTCTAGCATATCTAGAGTTTTAGGTCATGTTAAGAATGCCATTTAACAGAAAATTCAAACAAAACTGACCAAAAATGTCCACACACACAAACAAAATCACCTAGTAAACAAATCATCTTTAACAACTTATACCAAGTCCCATTCAAACCATGACTGCTCTTCATATAAAAATAGTCATCTCATTCTCCCCAAGTTTTCAAGATGTTTTCTGAACATTGCCGATGTCTGCCAATTTCCTACAAGTCACCATTTCTCCATCATTTCTTAATTGTGCTTTTTGTAAAGGAAACTTGCGTTGGGTATTGTGACTTATGTTTATGTATTTAAGGAATTAAAAAGTAAACAAGATGTAGAAAATAAATGTATCAGTAATATTTTCCCACATATTAACTCAAAGAAGAAATACGGAGTTTTACATTTCTTCTAGTGTGCCTTAGCAAATCTGACTGAGAGTCTCATCTTTTTTTGTTTGTTTGTTTTAAGAATTGGGGGAAAAATATATCTCTGAACTTGCAATTCCAAGCCTGTACAGATAGAAACTATCCATAGGAAGGTGTTTGGTAGTGTCTACAGAGATGCAAATAATAGTGGGTAATGAAAAGCCACAAAAGAGCAGACTTAAAAATGAGAATTTCAACATGAAAAGGTAAAGTGGACAGAGGTGACAAACAGCACTAGCCACCAAACTTGAACTAGAGGCTATCCCTTAAAAGTAAGGGACAAATAAAAGGTTATGCAGCAAGGATAAACAGAATGATTTCAGTTCAACAAATGTTTATCAAGTGTCTACTCTGGTCAAAGTGCTGTGCTATCAGCCAGCTTCCCTAAAGGGAGGTAACGTCAAAGCCAAGGACACTGAGAATTGTTGATGTGAAGTCATCAGAGGGAGTGTACTTTATCAAGGGAAAATTGGGGTTTCTATGACTCTTTGAAGGACATAGTCATGGAGACAATCACCATGTGAAGTAACCTGCTCTTTTCCCAATAAGGACTCAGTAACCTCACCTAAAAAAGTGAGGAAGCTGGACTAATTGTCCCCTTAGGTCCCTGCCCACTTCAGTTTCATGGATTATTTTATAAAATATCCTTTGGTGCCACTGTCAGTGATACTTCTTGTCATGGGTGCTCTTCATATAGTCTTAAGAACCAAGAAATTTAAAATTTGAAGATTGGGAAAATCAGCTGGCCCATATTTTTTCTTTTCCTGTCTTCATCCCTTACCATCTGCCCAGACAACAAACACAGTCCTCTATTATGTAATTGTGTAGTTGGAGTATCAAAAGGATGGTGAACATCAGTTAGAACACTGCCCTGTACGTTCCACTGGCATCACCCAGCACAACAGTGGTGTGAATGTGGAGAGGAACGGACCAAACAGGTCTCCGAAATGGATGTTAGGATTTGAGTATCACTTGAAGCAGAAGTAGATCTAACCCTCCAAGGTACTGAGGGGCCACGTTACAATGATCTGTGATTTATAGATATGTCCTTTTACACAACAGACTGCAGAAATTGAGGGAGGGGGGAAAAGTGCTCTGTAAATATGCTGGGACTATTTGTAAAACAGTTAAGGCAAAACGAGATGAGAGAAAGGGTCAGGCCTCTTCATATTCTCACTGTCTCTTAATAACATGAAAATGTAGTTTAAATTTTTTTAAACATGCACAAGCTACAAAATACCATCTTTTTAATGTGTTAGTATGACTTTAGTTTCTTATACTTAGAATTGGGTCAAATGTGATGGCTCGATTCTAACTGGACAGAGCAAGATGTTCTGGCATCCCCTTCCTATTTAGCTCCATGCTGTGCCTCGGATCAAACCCTCAGTGCCAGTCATGGACACTATCTAGCCACCATCATCGTGCCTCCATGTGCTCCAGGATCAGCAACTCCATGTAGTGTCCAATGTGAGCAGTTCTGGGAAAGCAGATGTGCAGTCAGAACCTGACAGCAACCTATTGGACCAAAGGGTTTAAGGGTTTAGAAGTATGGGGGTGAAAGAAAGGAAGATTATGAACACCTCTGACCCTAAGCCAGCATTCATTTAAACCTTTGTGTCCACCTGCCAACAGAGCCTGGAGAAAACTCTACCATATTCAAGAAATTAAACAGAATCAGTGTTTTAGCTAGGGAGTGTGATAAAAGAGCGCTCCTTCTCACCCTCCATTTTTGTAATGTCTGTAAGTGAATTTCAGTCTGTTAGGATGATGGACCCTAGATCCAATGAGTGATTCAGCTGATCCAAGGCTTGTATTTTTCCTTCATTCATCATCCATCCTCATTTGATATAACTTCTTGTACTATTGTGATTAATTTTATGTAAAACCAGTTTACTTTTAAAAGAAAAGAATATGTGCCTATGTAATAAAGTCTACACACTGGCTAACTTTATAGAGGTGAGGTTTTATTTTTAATTGTTCTGCTGATTCTCATTTGTAATACCCTTTTTTTGAGCTATGAAAATGAGCTATTAATAAATTTTTTTTATTGTTTTTAGGAGTAGAATTTAGTGACTCATCACTTACATATAACACCCAGTGCTCATCATAATAAGTGCCTCCTTAACAGCCATCACCCATCTAGCCCATCCCCCACCCACCTCCCTCTATCAACCCTCAGTTCATTCTCTACTGTAAAGTCTTGTGTGGTTTCTCTCTCTCTCTCTCTCTCTCTCTCTCTCTCTCTCTCTCTCTCTTTCCCCCTTCCCATACATTCATCTGTTTTGTTTCTTAAAATCCTATTAATACAAACTTTTTAACAAAATCTGTCACCATGGAAGATTTAATGAGGTAAGACATAATGAAATGTGTTTATTATAAAGAAGGCCTATCACCCAGTTAATGTGGTGTGATCATAAGATGACAAATTAACAAGTGACACATTAAAAACTGTTTATCCTAGTTAAGTTTATCATATATATAATTTAGTCAATTCAAGATATATTTATTGCATTCCAATTTTGTGCCCAATTGTGCGAGAAAACAAATTAAAATGATATAACCCTTAAGGTTTTCTTGGTGATAAGTGCAAATGCATATAGTAAGTGAGAAATAGAAAAGAATACATAAAAAATATCATTTCTGCAATATGTTCCTGACATATTCCTGTCAGCTCTCAACAAATAACTATTCA